TAAAATCGTGCATTTTACTTAATGTCCCTTGTCCAAGGTTTAAAAGATAATAAACTGATGATAATAACGAATTTTCAGCTAAATATTATTTCACTGTAATTCGACATGTATCTTACCAACGGGCTCACATGATACCCCATCACCAATGTAGTTTTTTCGACACTCACAGCTGAAGGATCCTGGATTGTTAAAACAGTGAGCAACTCCGTGACAGTTATGAGCTGATATTGCACATTCATCGATATCTATAGAATCATAGAAACGAGCATGAATTTCGCGGAGATTAATTTTTTCAGGTTCACCAATAAACTTCTTCATCAGTTGCTTTAAACTAAAGAAAAATTGCTTCCTTAAACCTAGCAGTGTATGGCCATAATGAATGAGAGGCAACGCCTGATTATTGTACCTGAACATGGAAACATCTCTCACCTACACAAGTTGTGCCATTTCCTTCATACCCTGCAATGCATGTACAGTAAAAAGATCCAACAGTGTTGTTACAAACAGCCAATTGGTCACAGTTGTGCACATTTGTGGTACATTCGTCGATATCTGAACGAAAGAAGAAAAGAACTGGGAGTGAAAAAATATTTTATTAATGTTAAAGACGCCATTGGTTATCAAGATTAAATGTACCTGCCCTATGACAAAAATATTTCGGCTAAAACAGACTTCTCTAGTAATGATCGTAATTCAAACTAGTGAGTTTCCCCCGGTGCTGTTTGTTGTAGTGATTGGTGAAATGTGGAAAAGGGAACGTAAAAATTTATCTAAGTAACCCTAGATCGCCGATTGTTTCGAATAACTTCTTCCTTGTTTTGCATCATATGGACAATCCACTAGATGACCCAAAATATGAGACTCAAGGTCGTGTAGTTTTATATTCACGTGATAATATACATTTCAAAGAGTAGTACATACCCAGACAGCTCACACCATCTCCTGAGTACCCGTTTACACAAGTGCAGTTATATGAGCCAAAAGTGTTGTTACACAGAGCATTCACGTCACAGTTGTGTTTCTGATCCTGACATTCATCTTCATCTGAGAATAAATAGAAATGGGAAAATGAATATCCATTTCTTGAGTATAATCAACGTCATCATCATTATCATCATCATTATCATCATCGTCACCACGCATGCTTGTACTTATGGCCTAAAATATACCTATCTTTATAGCTGTGAAAACAAAATATGAATGGCGGTATCGGCCAAGACAGTGGATCAAAAACAATGACGTTGGAAATCTTGCCGGATTTGATGAAAGCGTTTCACTAGCGATAACTTGTGGTATTTCGAAAATTTGCTTCACCTCTAGCTATTTCCACTTAGTATCTCTGGAAGAAATTCGTCATGGAAAGCAAACCAGGCTCAAAATTAATGACCCGATTTTAAGTCTGCCCTACTTGATTTTAAGTTTAATCATTAATTAATTCAGGATAGGGATCCAGCGAGACTGTTTGGCACGCAAAGATTGCCTATCCAAAGAAGCCCAAACTATATTAACCTGTTATCAGCTACTTAGATGGCTCTGTTGAGTCTGAGAACACGTTTCTACTTTCTATATTTCCAAACATGCAACGTTAACTATTTTCAATGCTCACCTAAGCCAAAATATTTTACTCTGTCTATTTGCTCGGCTGTCAATGCAACATCATAAAACTGTATTGCGGTGATTCTCCCAGTAAGAAATGTGGTATGCCCCTCCATTACACCCACACTGACGTTATCCTGAGTAGCAATAGTGATAACCCCGATATTCTGTTGGGCGACTCTTTCTCCATTCAGCCATAAACTGGTCGTTCCAGTCTTACTGTCATAAGAGGCACCAACATGATGCCATTGGTTTATTTCCAGGGGCTGATTGATTATCACCGACTTTGTGGGCATGTAATCTCTTTGGTGGAAGTTAGCGAACCATCCATCCGGTTTTGTCCAGATATGAGCACCCCAAACTGGACGTTTTCCACCATAATGAAGTACTGGCGCGTCTACTGCATTGTCAAGGTACAGCCAAAATAACAATGTAATGGAGTTCGAGATGTCTAATCCTCCCTGAACATTTGGAAACTCAATGTAGCTGTTGGCATTCCCAAGTAATTGATAAGAGCCACCTTCGTCAGCATTTGGACCAGTCGTTAAAGATACTTCTCCAAGGAAACCCGGAGGTTGTTTATTGTTCATCTCTCCTGCTTCAAAAAACCTGTTTAAAGGATAAAAAGCTCTTGCATCCGGTATACTCACGGCTGCAATCAGAAGAAAAATAATGAAAGATTAGCATACCCATGGATAGATCTTAATCCGTCCATTTAGTACACAAATAGTGGATTGACTCATATAAAGATATAATTTAAGGTTAAAGCTATGCGTCTCCTAGTAAGAAATTTTTTATAGCGCTCTTCTTCCAGTAACAACACTTCGTTCATCCTAAAACTAGATCATGGCCACCACCGACCTCAAGTTGGCGTGTTAACGTGTCTAAACTAAATGTATCAGTCCTGTTTTGATGTAGCAACTGTTTATATTGCCCTTAAGAGCTCTTAAAAAGTCTTTATCGAGTATTCTGTTAAACAGGCTTCTCTAGAAGGGAAATGACAAGCTTTAATTGTATAAGTTGTGTGAATTGAGGTCATAGGACTCTTAGACCAAGATGAGGCTTTTACATTGTCTGGAAAGCAATAAAACAATTTCAAAACTTAAATTGTTAATAAATTCAAATCGGATAAACACACAGTACCTATGCAGCCATAAAGCTCTACCCGCAAAGCTACACTATTCGACCAGGCCATTGGTAGAAAACGGATGAAACGTGCCGTGATTGGTGAGTGTAAACCATGATACACAACAGTGTCCTGGTCTGCATTTCCATCAAATTCCTAAATTATTAAACCATTCGTCAAAGTGTCATAAACAATGCAGAAATAAATGGATGAATGAATGATTCTACAGATAAACTGGAGTATGCTCTGCGGCAGTGCACCATCGCGAGCGCTAGAAATATACCAAGGGTGACTATGACTAATAACTAAAGAAACCTTGAATGCGCTCTGTTCTGCTTAATGTACTCAGCTTTAATGCAAGAAGCGGCCAGAGCACGAGAGAAATGTAAGGGGAAACAAGCAGTCGAGTGCTTCTCCTTACTTTTTGAGTGCTTTAGCCGCCTCTTAAGAAACATAAAGCATAAAGATTACTCGTTGAAAAGTATATCCACGCATTGGAAAGTATATCAGAGAAAGCTCTTAGTTGTTCACTCGAAGGGCGAAAAATTTAGAGCTAGCCGCGATGGATCACAACATGATTGCAGTCACTCTGAGACCATAATGATTTGTATAAATTTTAACCGACATGCCAGTTTAGTCATATTTTCGCGATCCTGTTTCGTTTTGTTCTGTTTTTTTTTTTTAAACACGAAACTATATATATATATATATAGACTGCTAGCTGTGTTTGAGTTTTATTACCGTATGTAAGCTTACACTCTAACAAAGCGTGAAAAGCGCATCGAAAATCATCTCGATGCTATTGCGTTACCTGTCACGTAACATCGAAACCTTCAAAAAGATATCAAGCCCAAACCTCTGAGCCTTCGATACATTGAGGGATTTTGAACACGAGGTAACCATCTAAATCTTTTTGTGTACTTATATTGAAATTATATCGTAAGCCGCTTATGCACATTGTTTTGAACGTGTCATATTAAGATATTACTTTATCATTGCGTTCTCCTTCCTCTCTATAGTATTGGAAGCTCACACCATCTTCACTATATTGCAGCTTGTATTTGGTTACATGATGAAGAAAAATTGTGCTATGTCTTCCTTGCGTTGCCACACCCGTTACTTTGGTGAACAGATGCCCCAGATCAATCTGCAGCCATGAATTGGCATTAGTGCCAGCCCTCCAACCTCCAGTGCCTTCCTCATAATTGAGTCTGCTATTCTTTGGGTCGTGATATGAGGAAAACCGGGACGAGGCACTTATGCTTCCATCCGAGATTGCAAAATTCTCCATACCGAGAGGTTTTCCACATTCTAAAAGACAAATTATTTACTGACGTGACAATAACAATAGGTATTGTTAGAGAAGTAATGGAGGGAAAAATCTAAGGGCAATTCTAGACTCTAATATTTCCTTTAAAAAATTAAATTTTAGCGTTTGTTTACTCCGAGCTATATCTGGGAATGATCATTGTGGAGGAGAGTTTATCTTGTAGAGCTTAACAGAATAGACCGATAACTGGTCGCCTTTGATAATTTCTGAATTATGAGTTGACGCAGTTATGCATTAGTAATCCTGAGGACTCTATCCACGCCCTAAGTGCTAACATTTTTAGGGAGGATAGACTGCTAAAGACGGTGTGAATTTTTTTTGTACTCATGTTTGAGTATTCGTCCAGGTGAGGCCAATAAGTCTGAAACAATTGATTTCAATGACATAAATGTGTACCTTGACAACCATAAAGTTCTACTCTCATCCCTATTTGGTTAGTCCAGGCAAGAGGTCGAAAGCGGATGTAACGCGCAATGATTGGAACGGTAAGGCTGTGAGAAACGATAGTGTTCTGGTCAAAGTTTCCAGAAAATTCCTGAAACAGATGAGATACCAATAAGTTGGAAATGAACAGTTTAAACCTCATTAGTAGATATTTGAATTAAACAATGATATAGCATTGCATGAGAGGAAGAACTGTATCAGTTTCTACCGGTACCAATGCGAAGCGATCTCCGTGAAGGTGCAGGTCAGAGGTAAGATGTCTGATGTTGCGCAAGCTCAGCGAAGCGAGAAACGACTTTGAAAAAAGCCAATCTCAAACAAGGGGCAACATCCAAACATGAAGCGAAAAATGTAACCCAAGGAAAAGTTGTAGAGGTGCAGCAAGAGAAGCAGTCGTTGCTAAACCTATGAATGACTTTTCACCAGTGTGCAGTCTGTTGGATACTTTGACGGTCCAGAAGGTTAATTTGTAGAGACTTCATGAAACTGCGTCAGTGTAAACTATTATGCCCAGCCTACCTTATCTGCAGCAATTCCCTGCTCCTTGTAGTGTTCAAAAGTTACTCCATCGTCACCATACTGTACTTTGTAGCTTTTAACCCACTGAGGGGAATCCGCCTTCCCTTGCGTTGCCACTCGTGTAACTTTAGTGGAGTAGGTAAGCAAATCAATCTGGAACCATTGGTCTGTATTATGTACAGCAGCCACCCATCCTCCTTCATTCACACCATCTCCTTCAAAATTCAGCCTCCCGTTCCTGGGTCCATGTGAGTTCCCCCATTTCGTGGAGGCTGAAAGTTGCCAATTTAGTATTATTCTGTCCTCCATGCCCAGTGGATCATTGCAATCTATAGCATAATTAAAAATAAAGATAACATTGACAAGATTTATGTAATAGATTACTTTAGACATATTTCATCGAGTGAAAAATGTTAAACCGCAAAAATCAGGGATTCAATACTAGACTTGACTTCTCCTGCTGAATTAGGTTCAAACTTTCATTCCTATTTTTTTTCAAGAATAGCCAACAGGTTTGGCACTTGTTTTGGCACTTGCTAGTTTCATGTGATTATTCTATGTTGGAAGTACATTGCCCATCATCAGTAATAATGTGATTGGTGACTTTACCTTTATCACAGTTATCTCCATTATATGCACCGTGACACTGACAAATGTAACTGTTATCAGGCTTTTGTACACAGGATCCTCCATTTTTGCATGGATTGCTTGTGCATGGATGAACTGAAAAATAAATACTAGTTAGTCCACAATATTAGTAGTTTTTGCAGTTTCAATTTAGTTTTTTTTTCTTTATTTTTTGAAAAATGTACCCGGTCTTCCACAATTTTTTATTATTAATATTATTTCTCAATGTTTCTCTTCAGTTAAGGAGGTCTATGTCTATCTCAAGCAATGTTATGGTGCTTTACTTGTTTCCTTATGATCAGATTTTCATTGAGTGGTTCCTGTTAACTAAGTCAAATTGAATAGTAACAAAATGCATATATATATATATATTCAAGTGGTGCGGTCATTTTTGTTGAAGAGAAATTCTTAAATTTTCATTTTTGGAAACGACCACCGATGCAAAGTTCATTAACAGGAAAGTATAAGCAGACTGTATGGGGAAGAGAGGAGCAAAGCAAAACTAAAGGTGCGTAAGTTGTGGGAATGCACAGTTTTTCCTCGTGATGTGTACAATATTAATCGACACTGAATTTTAAGATGCTTTTAAAGTTGAGGAAAACTGGAAAAACATTTCATCATAGCTGATTTACTAGATCCATTTGTAAATAGTCGAAGCGTTCCACATAACTTTCTTGGACTTGCTTGTTCTTCCCTGCTGACTAGTTTACAGATTAGTGTCAAACATATTAAGAAAGTTTGAAGTAATAATTTTTGTAAACAATATGCCCTCAGGATGCTTTTCATTAAGGGCTTCTCCCCAAATTCTCAAGAAAACGTAAAATCTATCTCGATGGAGCCCGCTTTCGCGATCTTAAAACAAAAAAAAAACAAAAAAAAAGGAAAAAAAATTTTGTTATTAACTATGTCTAAGATAAAAATTTGGGGAGCAACATTTAACATGTTTGAGAATTCTCAGAAAGAATAGCTTGGTTTTCCCCCTGCTTTTTTTATTTTTTATATTTTGGGATAAGAAAGGGAAAAGAGTTCAAAATCTACTTTGCTTGGAACTTGGAACGATAATTTAGAAAAAGAGAGACCAAAAATTCAATTAGTCCTTTTAGAAGACGTTTATTCGAAAGTAACCAGCCGTTAAAGGGGCAATAGGATAATTCCGATTTCACGATTTCAGAGTATCCTATTCGATCGACAACTCTTTGGTTCCATAAGTCATAGTTGAAATCATGAATCAAATCGAGCCTCACAGAAAGATAGTAAAAAATTTCAAATTTACCGTTTTACTTCAAAGATACAAACTCACTGCGTATGATACCGAGTTAAATCAACATTCATTACGTACGGATTGCAGCGACTGGTCTCTGCCTAAACCTAAACACCTGGGGAAAATGTTTAGAAGATTCTCAACCCTTTTCACGTCTTTTGAAGATGGGTGAGATTGAAGAAAAAGGTAAATAAAGGTAAGGTCCTAAATTGTATTTTTAAACGGTGGTGACGGTAGGAAGGAATTCCGTTTCTAGTGAAATCCGTTGCTACAAGATTTGAAAAAAATATGTCCAGACTAGCTGACTAAGACCATGACTAAAAGCATTTGGGAAAGGACTCCAACCTGCATAAACGAGACCATTGCCAGTTGTCTGCATTAGCCCTTGGACGAAGAACAAAAACGTCTGAAAAATAACATCAAACAATACATGAACTTGCTGGCTAGCTGGGACAAATCCAAAGTAAAACGTTTCATCTTACCATCCATAGCACTAACGAGCCGTTCGCAAGCATTTTTTATGGTATGCCTTCTGCAAATATTTTGGGGGTGCTCGCACCCTCCCTGGGAACAGTATGCCCTAAACCTCAGATAAACAAGTCAATTATTTTTCCCCTCCGTTCTCGCGCTTCTGAGCGAGGAGAGCTTGTAATAACTGTTTGAGAGCTGCGGCTGACAAATATAAGTCTTTAAAGGGAATTTGTTTTAAAAAGAATGTTGTAGAAAGCAATTACAAAGAACTCAAGGCAAGGATTACTAATTAAAGTAACAATGAAACCCCGCTGATTGCAATTGGCAACACGCTGTCGCTGTTTATAATCCAAATTATACATGAAAAGAATTGTGTTCATTTCGAGCTCAGCTGAGCTAAGATCAGTTATTGCAGAGGAGATGGTGAGCTTCCAAGCTGTTTTCAATCTCCATGACCATAAACTGGTTAGAACAGGTGACTACAACTTATGCTAAACTTTGTCGTAGAAACTCTTTGAATTGTCTATTCTCAGAAGTTAATGACTGCTAAGTGGTTTTGCCGTGTCGGTTTTGTCTTTGTTAAAAAGCGTGTTTTCAACAAATTGGATGCTTTTATCTTTGACATTTTTTAAAACAACTGAGTGCTGATAATTAAACAAACGCATGTTTTGACAACAGTGAAGATCACAATAACCCCGTGGGTGTGTATTATTCAAATGTCACAGAGGTTATTTGTCACATCCACCTATGTTGAAATTGAATATCATTTGTTTATTTTATTATAGCCTAGAATTTGAAAGTCTGTTTCTCTTCTAGAATAGTACTCAACAAGTCAGTGCAATATAATTTTACTCCAAATTAATGCTTGATTCATTTATTTTAATACGCAACATCGACAAAACCGCGCTTACGTTTTCAGGACGCCACTGAATTCATTATAATCTTATATTGTTTATCTGCTCAATTTTATTCTAGAAAATTACCTTAATTTTGTTTAAGCCTAGAGACCGAGAGATACCATTCATTCACTGTTGTCAGGACGATATCAGACCAAAAGAGTTTTATTTACAACATGTAGCTACCTTAGAAAGAAGCGACACGTTTTACGTAAATCCGTCAGAAATAAATGTGATACGCGGAACTCCTCCATGATTAAAGATAATTGAGAGCGATTGGAAGAGACCGGTTGTTTTACTTCAAGTTACCAAGACACCTACTTTGTGAAAGATTCATGCTGATTTGAATGTTTTTCTTTCATAATTCAAAGTTTTGAGAAGAAGTAATCGCAAAATTAGAGATAAAGTTAAATGCTACTATTTACAAATATATTCGGCTTGTTGAATGTTGCTATCAAATAGAGGATATGCTTTACACAGTGGTAGCGCCTCGAAATACACCACTCTGGATAGTCGTTAGCGCTATACTTTGATACGTTTTATGCGAGGATCACTCTTTGATTAATTTTAAGAGGCATAATTTCAATGGGCGACTTTATTAGAGAAGTGAATATGGATAGCGATCATTCCCCTTTGATAAATCAGACAACAGTTCCCTCCAGACAAGACTATTGCTGTATAGTAATTTTTACGTGCTTTTAGCTGTACATATATCAAGATATACATGCATTTGGGGAGTTTAGCGAGAACGCTCAAAAGAGTGCGATTACATTCGGTTACGCCTGGAACATACGTGGCTCTTACGCTCCACTCTCCTCCATTGCTTTTCAAACTTCACGCAAACATCAATGACCGTACCTCAATATACGTTACGCCTAGGGAAAATGTCTAATAGTAAGAATTTTAACAAAGATCAAAAAGCATCAATGGCAGAAGGTTATGACACACCAATGACAACAAACAAGTATTTCGACTTCGTCGCCTGACGAAGACTAGCAGTACAGGAGACGAAACGTCGCGATCAATACACGATTGATTAGCCTGAGTCTTGCATCAAATGACAAACGATTATAAGTTCATTTATCTTAACTTTTTTCATGCCATTATCCTGAGACAGACTGATCGGTTCGTGCATATAATGAGTGAGGTCGTCTTTACATTTCTTAATCTTCAAATTGTACTTTTGCCCGACGCAAGCAAAGTTCAAAAGTACTATTAAATCAATTAAGTCGTGTAATTTTAGCTGGGCTCTAAAAGGTCCTGACTGTTGAATTAAGGGCTTAGTTATGACTTTACATTCCCCTTACTGTGATTAATTTTCCTTATCAACTCTGTTGATAGAACCAAATGATCAAGATTTAATAGGCAAGGAGCAGGTAGATTATTTTTACTCTCTATTATTTAGCAACTGGTCATGCATCAATCAAAGCCAATGTTTATTATATATAGAAAAGGCATTTTAGATCAATACAGGGGATGCACATGACATAGAAAGTATCCAAAGTGGCTATGAATATTAGCGCAAAAGTAATTACCCATTCGCTATCTGGTTCGGCGACATCAAGGTCTCCTTCTTCCTCCTCAGTCTAAGAACATTTTTCTAAGAACTATGTATTCATCTATGGTAGGCTTGCAATAGATCTAAGTGTGTCAGTTGCCTAGCCTTGAAATGTTTAGTAAGGGAAATTTTATTGAGAGCTACTTTGCTACCACTACGCTTAGAAAAGGTTGTTACTGGAATTCTAATCAATGATTTCAGGCCATCTCAAATTTATTTAAATCAACAATCATTATAAGCATTCTGCAAGGTATTTTCAGAACTTTGCTTTCATAACCTTCGTTTGCGGTATCATATGAAATTGGAGATGTAATTGACACTTATTGCCGCTGTTTTCATGCGAAAACACAAACGCTTAAGACTCTTCAAATCTACCAGGTACCTGCTCTTATCCACTTACCACACGCTCATGTTGTTTTCCTTTGTCTGCGGCCTCCTATCGATACAGATATCCACAGTAAGCGTAAGTCAAATGTTAACATAATACTTATTCTTAAGCGAAAAACAAGTGATCTTTAGTGTGTAAAAATAAAAAATTCCAAATGACGGAGTGCATTTAATTGAAAATTAATTAATTATCTTGGTATGATCCCGGAGGAAAATTAGTAACAACGCTAATGACTATTAAGAGCGCCGAAAAGGAATGCAGGCTGTTATCTCATACCACCAAACACTCTAAAGATTTTGCTGTCGTCATAAAGAGTGGACTTTCAGTCGATATGTCAAGTATGGGACGCGCTTGTCGATTCTATTATCAATTTTTAAACCAGAGCATTACAACATCCTCATATAAACCAGGGAAGTCCCGACACCTTACAAAGCACGAGCTCTCAATTATTATTTAAAAAATGCACGAGCTTTCAAATGTCTTAAAACGCACGATCATCAATTGTCTTACAAAGCACGTGCCTTAAATGACTTGAAAAGCACGGTGTCTCAAATGTCTGAAAAGCACGATGTCTTAATGTCTTAAAAAGCACGATGTGACAAATGTCTTATAGAGCACGATGTCACAAACGTCTTATAAAGCAGGATGTCTCAAGTGTCCTATAAAGCACGATGTCTCAAAGGTCTTAAAAAGCACGATGTGTCAAAGGGCTTAAAAAGCACGATGTCGCAAATGTCTTAAAAAGCACGATGTCCCAGAAGTCGTAAAATGCACGACGTCTTAAATGTCTTCAAAAGCGCGGGACGGGCTTGTCGATTCTATTATCAATTTTTAAACCAGAGCATTACAGCATCCTCATATACACCAGGGAAATCCCGACACCTTACAAAGCATGAGCTCTCAATTATTTTTAAAAAAATGCACGAACTTTCAAATGTCTTAAAACGCGCGATGTATCAATTGTCTGACAAAGTACGATGTCTGGAATGACTTGAAAAGCACGTTGTCTCAAATTTCTTAAAAAGCACGATGTCTCAAATGTCTTAAAAAGCGCAATATCTCAAACGTCGTAAAATGCACGATGTGTTATATGTCTTATAAAGCACGATGTCTCAAATGTCTTAAAAAGCACGTCTCAAGTGTCTTAAAATGCACGATGTCTCGAATGTCATAAAAAGCACGATGTGTCAAAGGTCTTAAAAAGCACAATGTCTCAAAGGGCTTAAAAAGCACGATGTCTTAAATGAGCTAAAAAGCACGATGTCCCAGAAGTCGTAAAATGCACGATGTCTCAAAGGTCCTAAAAAGCACGATGTCTCATATTTCTTATAAAGCACAGTGTCTCATATGTCTTATAAAGCACGATGTCTTATATGTCTTGTAAAGCACGACGTCTCATATGTATTATAAAGCACGATGTCTTAAATGTATTAGAAAGCACAATGTCACAAAGGTCTTATAAAGCACGATGTCTCATGTCTTATAAAGCACGATGTCTTAAATGTATTACAAAGCACGATGTCTCAAATGTCTTATAAAGCACGATGTATCAAATGTATTATAAAGCACGATGTTTCAAATGTCTTATAAAGCACGGTGTTTCGTAAGTCTTATAAAGCACGAAGTCTTAAATATCTTATAAAGCACGATGTCTCAGATTTCTTATAAAGCATGATGTATCAAATGCATTATAAAGCACGATGTATCAAACGTCTTTAATATAGCACGTCTCAAATGTCTTAAAAAGCACGACGTCTCAAATGTCATAAAAAGCACAATGTCTGAAAGGTTTTAAAAAGCACTGTTACTCAGTGCATCTTCATTATCCATGCAATCAATTTCAGCCTCTTGTATCCACAAGAAAGAAAATCATATTCAATTACAAATTCAGCCTCTTAATTTGCCTCCCAAAATCTACCCACTGACTGGTACTTTCACTTTAGCTCAACAAATATAACCTAGAAGAAAAAGTTTAAAATTAGCTACCTTCCACATCAAACTGAGATCCCACATAGGAGACCAGGACATAACACTTTTTGATGGTCTCAGTACTATCCATGAGTCGCCTACAAGAAGATTTAAACTTATTAACCCTTATAATAAACAGAAAAATAATGTACATGTATTTAGATTAATAATTGTATAACTGTATTCTGTATGTTAGGCCATGTTCTGTGTGTTAATTTAAATCAAGTTATGAAA